AGAGTACTCCCACGCGCACGTTCACCGGCAGCAGCAGCAGCAGCAGCATCAGCAGCTCCATGAAACGTCGATTCCCTCGTGAATTTTTTTAATCCGATTCGCCAGCGCGTTTGCCTGCCCACGTTTTGTTGTTTTTTCTCTTCTTCCTGTAGCAAAAGCAAAAGCAGAAACAGCAACAGCAGTAGCACTGCCTTGGTTGGCGTCGGATAAAGTCGGCGTCTGCGTTCAACGTCAGTGTTCAACGTCAGCGTTGTCGTCATCGGCATTCGTTTAAAATGCAAACTCGTGCGCCACGGCCTTTTTAAAATACCCGCCATATCCGGGTTACACGTTACGGCGCATACTTGCGTCCCATTTTTCGCAGTAACCACCACATACACACACATACATACACAACTATCCCTTCCTCTCATTCTTAATCCGTTCAGGAATTTATGTCTTATATTGCAGAAGCGTTATATGCGTTTTCATCTTCACTTCAAACGAAACTGTTTTTCCCAAAGTGAATCCGGCTACCGTAACGATGACGATGACGACTACGGCGTTCGTATAAATAGAAAACTAGCTTCCGTTTTTCGGTCCAATAAGTTGTACTAGAATAATAGAAAGAATGTGTAAGAGTAAAACAATATATTATTTCTAATTTTTTTTCTAATAAATAATTTTCTCTTTTCTGTATATATTTAAAAATTTAGAAATACGAAAAAGCAATTTGAAAAACAGATAGAGAAAAAAGTTTCCCCTATGAAGGATCGAACACTAACTAGCAGGCACGAGAAGCGAATACGCTACTACTTACGCTAGCGCGCTACTTGATAAACAATTCCATTTAAGATAATATAAATATATATACAAAAAATTCAAAACTTTAAAAGCATTTTTCTCAAAATTGGTTTCACATTTTGATAAAATACTTGACCACGTTAACACCCTAAAAGTTTTACTACTAATATACCAAAGCTCGTTAAAATCAGTGAGTGCACAACCGTAAGGTCTCCTTGTGAGACGAAAAAAAAAAGAATTGATAAAGATGTATATGGTTAGAATGATGGTTTGGGTGGGGGTGGGTAAGGGGTAGGTATAGAAAAAAAGAAACAGATACACAGATAAAGAAAGAAGGATTTAGATTGAAATTGATAGGGAGAATGAAAGAAATACTACAGCGATCACGAAATTTACTCAAGTGGATTGGATAGAAGAAAGCTTGGATCGTGGAAAACTACGCCAAACCATGGCGGCCAGATGGAAGAAAAAGAAAAAGAATAAAAATAAGAAGAGAGGGCCGTAGTTGTGGTGTACTCTAAGGCATGAGAGGAACTCTTTAAAAGAGGTTTAGAACTGCCACTCTTTTTCTTCTTCTTTCCGCAATGCGATTTTATTCGCAGCAAAACGCGACTTTCTAGCCCATCGATCCTCGACACCTCGCGAGGATGAAAGCAAAGAGAGAGAGAGAGAGAGAGAGAGAGAGAGAGAGAGAAAGAGAGAGTTGGAGAGAGAGAGAGAGAAGAAGTAAAGGCAACGGTGCCTTGAGGAAGCCACGGCTCGTAACAACTTCGAACGTGCCGGGAAACGAAGGTGCTAGTTAAAGCGCGACCAACCATGTGTTGTACCAGTATCCGTGTGTGTTTAACTTATAAATATATGTGTGCCGTCTTTCTATGTGTCTGTGTTCTGGTGTATAAGAATGAGAAAGAGAAAGAGAGGGCTACCGGTTTTCAAATATCCTACGAGCCGAAGACGGATGGCAAAATATGCGGTAGATGGAAAGAGAAAGATTTCAAAAGAGAGAAAGAGAGAGAGAGAGAGAGAGAGAGATCTCAACGACGAGAACGTGTGAGTTCCATACGGAATTCCGTGGTCCATTTGTCGGCGAGCTCTCGAAAAGGGATTCTCTCGAATAATGTACCCGTTCCTTTATTCTCGACATGCATTTGGTCTCGATATTTGGGATCGGTTGTTGTTGTTGTTGTTATTGTTGTTGTTAAAGATAAAATGGAATCTACGAGATGATGGAAAAAAAATTATAATAAAAATTAATAATTAATAATATAGAGAAGAAGAGGAGAGTGTTAATAATTGTCGCATATTATAAAATGAGATTTCGTTTTTGATTGAAGATATTAATAATAATAATAATCGTTAACTTAAATCTTACTTACATAGATATTCGATAATGAAATAATAATATTTCAATAACCGATTCGAATTATCGTTAATAACGATTTACAATTGTTACATTTAGAATAGTTTGATTTCATTCTCCTTTACCCTTATATCTAATTTAACATTTGATCAAATTAAAATCAAACGCCGATTGCTTAACGATTTCAAATTGATTAGTTAGTTATATCATCTAATTAAATGTAGAGATCATTATTATACCATCGAACATTCTAAAACTCTGACGGAAGTTAGAAAATCGATGAACGCGCGGAGCGGCGCGGGGGGGTGGAGGGGCGAGGGGAAGGACGGGCGGGATTAACGCTCCGATTTACTTCCGGTCGACGATCGTAAGGTATCGCATTTAGTGTGAAACGCTTTTGACCTCGATAGCGAGGTGCGCCGATAGAGAGAGAGTGGAGAGGTGGATATAAAGAGACAGACAGACAGACAGACAGAGACAGAAACACACACAGAGAGAGAGAGAGAGAGAGAGAGAGAGAAATAGGGTAGAGAAGAGAAGGGAAACGTTGGTATGATGGGGTGGTGGTGGTGTTGGTGATGGTCCCCCTCTCTCTCTGTTTCTCTATCTCTCTCTTCGTTCACTCCCTCTAGTCCATGGTTTTGGATTCTCCGTACCCTGGGTTCTCCTCGTCATAGCCCATTACACGTACTGCGTGACACGGGTGGCCGACAGGCGACAGGATACCGAACTCACGCTTCTGTGTATCCTACCGTGAAACGCACCCCGGTGCTCTGTTCCCGTACTTCTATGCATCCTTGTGTATGTACTATGCATGTAGGAGATGTATATATATGGGTTTGTATGATGTATAGATGTGTGTAATGCCACATGGAAAATAGTAGGTATGTATATATAACGTGTGTGTACGTATGTACGTACGTACGTAGCCGAAGCTATCATTAAGCGGCGCTGCCTCAAAGAATCCGCCTTCCGTGTAACTTGCACACGCATATTCTCTCTCTTTTTCTGTTTGTATTGGTTTCTGTATGTGTATATGTGTTTCGACTATCGAACGGTATACTCAGTCGACTCGTTTAAGTCTACATATACAAGCTTTCGCGTGTATGTATATATATATAGATATATATGTAGTGTACGATAGATTTAAAGAGGGTTCGATTTCTCTTTTTTCGTTTTTTTTTTTTTTTCACTTATGTTAACATTTGTTTCTTTTTTCTTTTATCGACGAAAAAATATTTTTCACGAAGTTTATATATTACGCGAAAGGTTAATCGATTTATAATAGATATATTTCTTTTTCTATGTCGTTAGTTTTAGGAGGAATGTGTTTTTTTTTGTTTCGTTTTTAGGATAGATTACTAATGATTGGTCGAGTGTATTATTGAGTAATAAGTTTAGTGTTTAGGACGAATGCTAATTAGATTGATGGAGAGAATAGTTGATAGTAATTGAAATGTTTCTATAATTTTTCATTGAAAATAGCTATGAGAAATAATGAGGAATGTTATTTAATCAATATACCCGATCAATCTTTTTAGAAAAAGAAAAAGAAGATTATCATTAGATAAGAAATTATTGTCTACGATTCGTCGAATCAATTGCCCCGAAGGCAAGGCAAGCTTGAAATACCACTCGGATGGATATCAGTGTATTGTTATTTGCCTGACCGCAACCACTTAGTCGAACCGTAAGCTAGCTCCACAAGTTCAACTTTATCCTTCAACAGGTGTTCAGGCAAATACAATAATGTCGCGCATGCGGGATGAACTCCTTAAGGTCGCCAAGTTTGTCCGAGGATAGCGCCTGCCTGCGATCGTCGTCAATATTTCTTCGAATTCGCCATTTTATTTCTACTTGGAAATCGTAATTTCGCAAATTATTTGTATAGTCACGTTGTTGTTGTTGTTACGAAAGAATATAGTAGAAGAAAAACTTCCGTAATATTTAACATCAAGTTTCTCGGAGAAAAATATTTTACACGCTCTTCTTCTTACGTTCGAGATAATGTTTTTTTAAACGCGTATATCGTCCTCGTCCTCGTCGTTGACGTCTTCGTTCCAGTCGTATGACATTTTTTTCCGATGAATTTTTCTTCGTCATCGTACAAATCCGCATAGTTCGAAATGTTTGTTTGTTTTTTTCTTAACTTTAAATTACATTTAAGTATGGCATTCGAGAGAAACTATGTCATTCTACCGCGTTTCGCGTGGAACATTTTTGAAAAATTCCGTTAATATAACGAACTTCTTGGCTTAACGACGGTGCTGCCATCTAGTTGTAAAAGAAAGATTCACTGGATAACACATTCGAAATAACATTGAGATAATATCTTTTTGTTTCTCTTATGTGGTGGTATTTCTTTTAAAAATATTTTAAATAGAATTTCCATTGAACTATAAATTACACACGCATAGTTTTTCTTTTTTCTTTTTATACTTCTCATTTATTTAAAAACAGAAATCTGTGTTGCCATCTACAGTAGAGATGATAAAACTCGGTAGACAATGTCGATCCGATAAAGAAGTTTTCTACTATTTTCACTGACGTATGAACCGTTACCGACTTGTGCTACTAGGTGGCGATACCGTTTTGTTCCGTTTTGGAGGTTAACAAATTATCGATATTTTTTAATGTAAAATAAAATATCTTACGAATTAATCATTTTTTACGTTACACACATAATAAATCATGTGTAAGAATGTTAATAATGTAACAAATTAAAACAAAAAAAATAAGGAAAAACAAATTTTCAGATAAATTTTCGGATACGATAAGCTAATCACGTCCTTAATCTCTTAATTATACATTGCCATAACAGATTATATTAAAAATGAATTGTTATTTTGAATTTCAGGCATTGAACGGTGCAGAGGGTACAGTTCCACCAGGAAGAATTTACAAAAAGGTCGCCATAGTGGAGAATTTCTTCGATATTATTCATGCCGTCCACGTTGACCTTGAGGGTCGTCCTGGGAAGCATGCCGGTCAAAAGCGCACCTATCGGACGGTGAGTGGCACTTAAAATTGCTTCATTAGTGGTTCATTAACGATTCAGTTATCTTCGATGGAAGACACTCATACACAGAGACACGTACTTGATTACAAGTAGCAGCATGTACGAACGTATATATACTTACCTTAGTATATATAACACACACACATATATATAGGTATCAGGAAAACTTCATTAATTTTCATAATTACTGTTTAATCAACTCGAACAAAAATCACTTTTCTCGTCGACTAACTCCTCTTCTGTAATCTTACCGATAACTATTTAATATTCATATATACACACATCAAAATATAAATATATAATATGAAATAATTTTTAAGTATAAAAAAATAAAACTAAAATTACTCAACAAATCTAAAAAGAACTTATCTCTTTTCTATATATAAATATATATATCTGACATAGCGGGAAAATACAGATGATCTCGAGATGTCCGCCATTTTTAAATGGACTTCTTAACTGACAATGAACGGAGCAAAGAACTCTCTCCTGCTGTCCGTCTATATAGAAAAACCCTGAAGAGAAGAATAATATAGTAGTAGGAGGGATCCGTTTGGTTTCGATCTTTCGTATGGAGATGGTTGTTACCAGAACTCTTAACCATGGTTGTGCTGTATTTGTGTGTATGTTGTGCGTGACACACGATATTTACCGTTCTCTGGGGGGAAGGAATCGAGGCATTCAAGCGTCGAACACTCGATACCACACGTCATCTCACATGTTCCGGCGTACATTCGCGGAAACCTCTCTCTAGGGTATCATATCTATTCTCTCTCTCTCTCTCTCTTTCTACATATATATATATATATATATCTGTCTCTCTTACTCTCTCTTGTTTCGGGTTTTCGTCTCTTTCCGTTGGACACGAAGCACGATGGGGCGACCTTTCTCTATTCCTCTTCGTTCCACTCGGAGACTCTCCAATCGTCAAGCTTCCCTCCCACTATTACTCCTCTTCCCTCCCTCACTCTCTCTCTCTCTCTCTTTCTATCTATCTATCTATCTATATCTATCTATCTTTCTCTCTATCTCACACCCAACAGCTTTCCGCGCGTTCTCTCGCCCGCCGCGATCTGCTTGTGATTCAAAACCTCAGGACACTTGTTGCATTGCCTGCTTACTCGTACACATCTCCTATACATACACGTTCCTTTACATTTACTATATATATATATTTCTAAATGTATATATATATATATATATATATATATCTATTTATATATGTATGTATAATCGTTACACGTAGAAACCCACCACCTTTCGTAGCTGCGTGATACTATTTTACGTTTAAGTCGTCTACTACAAGAGCACGAATCATCGACTAGGGAAACTTACCCCCCCAAGTTCCCCCCGCCTACCCCTGCGACAAACTATAACTTGCTAAACGTTTCGCGACACGTTCGTTCATTTCTATTTGTAATGGAAAATGTTCGTAACTAGCTAAAGGGTATATATAGAAGATTTTTCCTATTGATTTGACATTTGATTTATTATATCCTTGGTGTTAATGATTCAAATATTAGTTATTGAAAAATTAATTTATTTATCGATAAATTTAATATTATTATTAATATATTGTTTATTTTAATAATTATATATATGCGACTTTTTTTTTTAGAATGTATCGTAGAAAATATTACAATTAAATGTATACAATTGTTTCGCGTTATTGATCAGAAATTATCCCGACACGAGTTTTATTTTTGTTGAACATTGACTTGTAAAATTTCATTAAATTTTGAACATTTTGAAAAAACAAATCATTTGATAGGAATAAGTAATATGTTAAGTATTCGTGTTTTAATAATTAATATAAAAAATAAACCCTTACACGAAAAAACCCTTTAGTTAGGTAGATGATCATAAGACTCAGAAGTATCTCATATGATTTTTATTGAAGACAATTCATTCGATCATTATCATCTTTGATAGATAAAAAAGAACAAGTATACAATTATTATTAGTAAAAATATTCGCATAATGTTGTATATGTAACTAACGATAAGTATTGCCTCGGGGGGGGGTGGGTGGCGGGCAGAAGGGGAGGGTACGCTGGGGGCTACTTCCTACGTTATATCGGAGCTTACGTATTTTCTATCAAACTTAGAAGAGAGAGAGAGTGAGACGACGGTAAAGCCGTCGTTCACGACTCGCCGTAAGTTTACCACTGTGTCATGTTGATCCAAAAGCCATTATCTCAGTTTCTTAACTGAGTCCTCTTCCTCTCTTCATCCCGTTCTTGGCAGCCGAGCTTCGAGTAAATCTTATCGAATTACTTCACCACATTCATACATACATAACACAGTCATACGTGCTTACCAGAGAACAGTATACCTATATATATATATACACATACTTATACTTAGTTACGTAGTACGTTGTTGTACGTTTGTACGAGGACGAAGCTTTACTTTACCCAGCAACGAAACTCCTATCGTTGATTAAGTTATGCCACCCGCCCTTCCCGAACCCCTTCCAGAGAGAAACGTTTCCTATTAAGAGCCAGAGAACATCCCTCCGGTTGAATACCTTCTCGCGAAGACATCAAAGTACCGTTACTACTCATGAATTTTCCCCAGGTAAAGGGGGTGGGGGTAAGGAAAGTAACGTTTTCAGTAAAACAATGAACGAACGAACGAACGAACGAAGAGTTTCCCCGATATTTGACGTTTCCTAATCATGAGAATACTTGTTTCTAATAATTCGATATAGAAAAATCATATAACAGATTTTTCTGCACTCTGTTAGGATTATTATGATAAATTAAATAATCAATTTAACATGATTTTTTTCGAATTTTTTGTTCTACTTTAAAAGATTTATTGTTTTATGCAATAATAGTAAATAAGTGTACTGACAACATTTTTGTTATTCATATTACATTGTTTAAGATTAGGAATCCCTCCCCGTATATAAAACAACAAATTTATCTCTAAGATAAGTTAATTATATTAATTGATCGTTATTGTTTGAATAAATAGAAATCAATATTAATAAAAAATGTAATATTTTAACTATTGTAAATCGTAAATTTCGGTTGATATTTGTTACAGATCACAGAGACGTATGCGTTCCTACCGAGAGAAGCTGTTACACGATTTCTTCTTGGATGTACTGAGTGTCAAAGAAGACCGAGAACACCAAGCCCTACCAATCTGTCTAATCAGTCATCGCATCCAGTTGCACTTTCGTCGACGATAACGTCTACGTCGGGATCAACAACTACGACAACGTCTACGTCAACGAGATTGAGTCCTACGACTAGTTTGGCAACGTCAAATTCAACCTCTCAAAATAACAATGCTAATAACAATAATAATAATAACAATAATGGCAATAACAAATCAAGAGACTCGACGGAAAGTAAAAATCTTTACAATTATAGACATCAAAAACATTTGAAGAATAATAATATTGTTGGAAATTTAACCGAGACGAAAAATGATAAAGACAAAGAAGAGAAATATAATCCTTTGAGTATAACCAATCTATTAAAAAAAGAACCAACGAATGGTGGATTCCTATCTAGTACGGAAATTTTACCAGAATCCCGAAGAACTCCAGAATCTGATCGGGCGAGTTCAAGGAGTTCGGCTTCGTCTAAAAGGAAGAGGATGCTGCCGGAGGGTCGGACTCCATCTCCACAGCCGAGTCAACCGTTGCCAAGGCCTTGGAGCCCGGGATTGGATCCCAAGAACACGCCCATCGACTACAGTCTTCCCATTACTACCTCGTACCTAAAACATCAGCAAAGGATGGCTGAAAAAAATAAGGCATTAAAGGAAGCTGAGGAAGAACAACAACAACAGCAACAACAACAGCAAGCACAACAACAACAACAACAGCAGCAACAGCAACAACAGAAAATAACTGCAATGGAAATTGACGCGGATAACGTCGAGGGTGAAAGATTTTCACCTGCAGCAGGTTTAATCGACACTAATCTCAATTTATTAGCAACCATTCAAGATTTACACTTCCAAGTGATGCTAGCATTGAACGAAAGGCTCAGACCATCTATCGCAATGCCGAATCCTCTCGTATTACCATCAGCTCACATCATATCCGGCCCCATGATCACAGGTTCCGAGGTGTCCGTGCAAACCGGGGAGCATCACTTGTGAACTCCTATTTTCTAGCATATCGATCGGTTTGATCTCGATAAAGCTTTCAAAGGACACATCTCAGATTACTTGTCCTTAGAACTCACGCGTCTAATATCTTTCATTCGGCAAAACTATCATTCTTAATTAGTGTTCCATCCATTTTAAAACCTAACCTTAAAATTATCATCTTTCTAATAGAGATAAATCACGATCTCAAAGTTTCTCGTTTTGGGAATAAAGAAAAATGAAAAAAAGAAAAATGAGATATATATAAATATA